GAAGGCTATCTTCTTCATGGAACTGTTGACATACAGGGCAAGTTTCAACAGTTACTGCATTGGTCTCAAATGGTTCAGTGTCTGAATCTGAGTCTGACATTGCCTGTGATATGTTGGCTTCCTTAAATTTTCTTCTAAATAAACAGTTTTTTTTTCACATGATTATAGCAACCACAATTGTAACATTTAATGGCATCTTTATAAAATTTCAATCTCTGTGTTCTTCTATTAAACAGTTTGTCTACATACTCTTTATAACCCGGATTTCTATCACACATTTTGTCGTTCGGATGAGATTTTTGACAATATTTGCAGTACGTCATTTGCCACTTTTTGTTGAACGTGGTTTTGTTTTTGTGTGGGTTTGCCCCTTGGTTGTATCTGGCTTTGTCATAACTGGCACTAGCTCCAGTTTCAATGTCTGGTACCGGGTTGGAAATGAAGATTTCACGATGGGCTGAAAAATAATTCTCACCTAAATTCTCTAACTCCTTCAATGAGGTTGGTTTATTTTCTCTTAAAAAGGTTGACATAGGTTTAGGTAGAGATTCCAACATTTTGTTCCTTAATAATAAATCTACTAATAATTTATAATTATCTCTAACATTGGCCGAATCAATCCATTTATCAAAAATATTCTGAACTTCCGAAAAATAGTCAGTGAATGTCTGATCAGACTTTGGCTTTAAATCCAGAAACTTTTTCCTATACCCTGCTTCATGTAGGTCATAGTGTCGCATGATGCGATCTTTAATATAGTCAAAGTCTAATCTTAGATGTTCAGGGACTGTTTCTAAGATCTTCAATGGTTCAAATGCTAAATGTTTTTGAAAAATAATGGCCCACTGGTCTTTTGGCACATCATGAAAGCGCATTTGCAAAAGAAAGCTAGATATATAACTACCAATGTCATCCTTTTCAGAGAAATTTCTGACTATACCTGCATACTTTTTGAATTTATTTTCTTCTTCTTTTAATCTTTCTTTTTGGATAGCAGCTTCTCTTCTGGAATCATTTTCCATTTCTTTAGTTCTGATTTGTGCCTCTGTCTTTTCTTTTTCAATCTGAATCGACGCAGCTATCTTCTCGCGTTCCAAATTCAGTTCTTGTTCTTTTAATATTCTTTCTTGTTCCAGCTGTTTTTCTCTTATCTCCATCTCCTGTCTTTTAACCTCTAGTTCGTGTGCTCTTAATAATCTCCGTTCTTCCCTGGCATCGTCTTGCATTTTCTTTTCCTTCTCATCACAAAACTTTCTAAGTTCTTCCCCTTCTAAATTCAATTCTTTGCCCAGCTTGATCAGTTCTGCCAAGTTAGACATTTTTATGTCTTTACAATGTAAACAACAGTAAAGTTACAATTCCTTTCTTTCAAAATACACACCCTAAAAAGAACAATATAAGTTCAATATAATGAACTAGTAACTTGAATTAATAACTAAATGTCACTGGGTATCAATACCAAACCTTGCAATAAAGTGGATGTAACTCTTACAACCACCTAGTCTATTACTAAATAATTCTATATATATACAGTTGATGTTTGAGATAAGAGTTAACTAATATTTGTTTAGTTTATGGGAGAGTAAATTAGTTAAGCACACTTGAGAAATTAGATATGGCAACAAGGAAAATGATCTATTATTTGATAAAGATTTAATAATCAACTAATAGAATGTTATAGCACTAGAGTAGATGTATTGGATTATCAAAGTGTTGATGTAGTGGACTATCAAAATATTTACCAAATAAATAATTAATTAATATGTAAATGTGTAACAATGTTATAATAATCCTGTGTAGCACAGTAGTTGGTTATAAAGTTTCAACTGATTATACCTTGTAAAATCACCAAAAAAAAAAATTGTTTTTATTGGCCGCACAGTCTGGGTATAATTAAATACTATTCTAAAAAAAATATTTGATTGAATTAGTCTTGATAATCGACTGTGATAGAGTAATCACTAATAGTCTCAAATAATTGAATTATTTCACGTAATAACTACTAAATTCACTTGTTCAGTAAGATGCTTATTAAGTTCGCTTTCAATGACGCAAAACTCAGTTACAATATATATGCAGAAACTAAAAAAAAATAATTCTTATCCCCCAATACCTTCAGTCTATATTAGAAATCAACAATAATACTATTCAACACAGATTAAATAAAGATATAGTGTTGAATCAATTAGTGTATCACCAAATGATATTACAATGATCCTTCGCCAATCAACTAATGATTGACTTATTATTTTTGGTATACAATACAATTTCTATTACCCACAACTATACTTTTGTTATAGTGATTATACTTGATGATGATCAAATGTGAATGGGTAGATCAAATGTTAAACTCAAATTGAAATAACTTTGACACTTGATAATGATGTGTATATGATTAATTATGGCACTTCCTGATGATGGTGGTACTGAACTTCCGTGTAATATAACACCCACAATTTTTTAAAATGATCCAAAAAATAATATAGAATTTCAATACAATTTGCCAATATTTATAAATAAAAAGAAATAATGTAAAGAATAATAGGAAAATACAAAATAATATCAAAAACACCAATATAACAATATTAATAGATAAAGTAGATGTCAATGAATGCACCAATGTAAATTATAAATAAATAATATTGATAATTATAATAAATAATTGAATCACCAGAAAAATAAATCAAAAATAAATTTAATAATCAATGTATATTGTTGTGCTGATCTAGTTGACTGTCCTGAAGTTGACCTGAAGCTGATTCTGCGATGGCTGTTGCTTTCTTGAAGGTTGTTTCGTTGAAGCTTGTCTGTTGAATATGCTACTGCTACTTTTAAATACTAAAGAAATGATAATTTGATATGGTTAATTGAAATTAACACACCTTAGTAATGATTTCATGCACTGGGCACTGAAACCAATTAATACCGCACAGTTTATCTGCTCACACTAGTAATTTCGGCATTGAATGCACACCAATTAAGGAATTGTTCAGTGAAATATTTATTACAGAAACTGTATACTGTTTGTGGTACTGTTCACTGTACTATAGGTTTCATAAACTGGATATTTATCATTGAGTAGTTCAACTGGTATCTACACACTTCAATAGTACCTTGTTAACTGTAGACACTAAAATAGTTCACTGCTAGCTACACACTTCAATAGTACATTGTTAATTGTAGACAAATAGTTCACTGCTAGCTACTGCTACACACTTCAATCAATACTTAGATTTGCACCGACCAATTTGATGCTTTTCCTGTCGACTGAATGTGTTTAGGACGTAGGAAAGCTTTATTGTTATCGCTTTCTTGTGATATGTGCGATTACACGATGAACTTGAAGCATCATTGATCACGAGACATTAATGAGTGCTGATCTTGAGGTTTTTGTAGACTTGTCATACTGCAGTTTTCCTATTGACTGGTTTGCCACGACTGAAAATGTAGAGCTGCGACACAAATACCCAGTGTCAGAGCTGTGGTTCTTTTTGATTTCTGTACAGTTAACACTCTATCCGGTGTTTCACTGTCTTTCTATATGTTTTGAAAAACAGATCCGAAAAACAGGATCTGGTGTCGACGCTTCTCTGTGTTGTTCAGTGTAGATTTCCCACTACACTTTACCACACTTTAGTCGGCAGCAAAATTTGATCAAACAACAAGGCTTTGGAAGTTTTGCAGAGGGGCAGTCCTAGTCTCACATCATCTCTGTGTAGACTTACGGTTGTATTCCTTTGCTACAATCAATGAATGCTCTTTGACACCGTCACTGTCTGCAATCTTTCCTTCGCATCTTAGTTGATTGTTGATTACTTGGTCGAAACTTAAAACGTGGACTTGTCTATCAGTATTCAAAGCCTGGAATTTGTCCGAACGTTGTTCAATCTGTGAACTATCGAATATGGGTTGTTGTTATTTCGCCATCGATCTTCCCCGCTTACGTTCGTATGTTGAACTGGTACTACCTGACGTCAGGTTGATAATTAAACACCTTTCGATGTCTCAGATTTTTCTGTTCGAAACAACTTTCCTATCCTCAAATGTTTGGACGAGCCCCCATCTGCGATGATTCTCTTTTATCTTCTACTGGCTCGCCTCATCGCACGCTCGCTGCCAACTCACAAAACCGACATCACACGTCGAGCAGAAAAAATGGACGACTGGGAAACAACACGATACTGTTCCAGTACTTTATTCTTCCACTCGCGGCTTACACAGCCGGCACATGAACTTGACAACTGTCCAGGCACACATTATAATGCAAGAATCAATTATTACCTTCAAGCAGAAATCCCAATCGATTTACACTAACATCGTAAACGAAACACAACAGCTGTCCTGACAGATACACTCAGACGACCGGCAGACATGTTACTGGCCAGCTTTCTTCGCCAAGTTGGACTGGAACAAATTCACTCAAAAACATCTGCTGAATTCACACATCATCCACCGCTGTCCATGCACACTGTTCCTGGGTCCAAAACGAGACTGCCCACAAACCTTTTCCTCGCTATTATATAGCCCTCTGATCTCTGATTCTAGAATATTCTGGATTCATTCTCACGAATTTCCCACTGTTGAAAGTTGTGTCTGGCCCGTGATAATTCACATTTCATACAAATCCTGTGAACAATCATGTTTCACATAAAACCTGACTTTCCGATGTCTCTCATGAAACTCAAGACATAAATCTCGTGTTATCTCAACCAGTCAAAACATTCGTCTTACATCTATTACTGACGTCATCTATCGGGCATAAATTAATGAGGAGAAAATGACTCACTACAGTTCCTTTTGTTTACCTCTGCTTTCGACCAAAAATATTTTGTAAATAAACCAACTTACGCTTGTCATAGAGTGATGAGCATTGTTTAATTATAATAATTGATCAATTAAAAACAAAAAAGACTCAGTTTAATAATGTTTTTTGAGATGCGCGAATAGCCAGAGTCGAAACTTGCGGCGCTTACAGCTTTATTTGTAGGTTTCCATGCAAGATGGCGCCTGTAAACGTAAGACTCAACCCCCTCGGGGTCTTGATTTTTGTCATGGCGTTCTTGCTGGCATTGTTATATCTATTTGGTATTCCGGATTTCTTCAGGAGAGAACAAAGAGTTAGCATGAAGGAGCTGTTAGCGGTCAGTATTGAACTGGCTCAGAGAGGAGGACTGAAAGTGAAAGAGGTGCACCAACAACACAAACTGAGCGAGAAAGTCAAGGGGTTGACCAAGGAAGGTGCCAAGGAGATGCTCACAAACGGGGACTTAGAATCTCACAGGGCTATTTTCTATGGCTTTTCAAAAATGTATCCTGGAATAAAGGTAGGCCAGCAGACCCTCTGTTTTTCTTTTACACCTTATTTAATCTGTATTTTTGCTTTTTTTTATTTTTTTTAAGATTAGAACGCAATAAATAAAATCGTTGATCGTGATAGTTGGCTATCCTCCGAACAATGGTCCCAAATTATCGAAGCTAAGAAAATACATAACACTAATAGCGCCTCAATCATATGTAAATTGCGGACTTCTTTCCTGCGAATATACCGCAAACCGCGGGAAACACTCCTCCGAATAACGGTCCCAAATCATCTCATCGTGTCGACAGCTCCGACACTGTTGTGCTAGGTTTAACTTCTTCCCTGGGTCCTAGGTTTAGCTTCTCCTCTGGGTCCTAGTACTCCTAGAGTTTCCCCCTGGGTCCAAGGTTTTACTTTTTCCCTGAGTGCTAGGTTTAACTTATCCCCTGGGTCTAAGGTTTAACTTCTTCCCTGGGCCCTACCCTAGGTTTAATTAAATGTCTTCTCTGGGTCCTAGGTTTAACTTCTCCCTTGGGTCCAAGGTTTAATTTCTCCCCTGGGTCCTAGGTTTAACTTCTTCCCTGGGTCCTAGGTTTAACTTCTTCCCTGGGTCCTAGGTTTAACTTCTTCCCTGGGTTAGGTCAAGGAGTATTGCACTTACGACACCACCACCAGAATCTGTCAACAACCGTGGTTTTGCGACACTGTCGATTGAAGGGTTATGGATGGAACTTACGCGGATGCGAGGTTACCATGGCGGCACTAGTAGCACTGACTATTTAGCTAATTTTCCTGGCGGCAGTCACAAACATTGAGGCCCTGTAAGAGTATTTTTTTAGCCTCGATAATTTGGGACCATTATTTGGAGCTCAGCCGAATCGTTTTTTTTATTAAAGTAAGATTTTTTTCTATGCTCAGTCTCATATAGGTCTTGGTCTCCTCTCTCTCTCTGTAGTCTGAGATGAAAGTACTTTTAATTTTAGTTAGTCCTTTTTATTTTTCCTTCAGATATTATAAACTAGTCTTTTACTTGAAGGACATCACATCTTTAGTAACTTATAGGTCTTGGAAAATCCAGTCTAACTACATCAACGTCATTGAAACAGCAAGAGTATGAGTATGGGAGTTTTAATATTAGCGAATATTAATTTAGATATAATAATATTGTGTCAGTGAGTATAATTATGTAACAGAGAAGAAGAACACACAGAAGACAGGCCATTTGCCTTGCTTTGAAGGTTATGGGGGTGGGGGTTCATTTCATGGATGCCTTATTTAGTTCACAAGGGCAATTTTTCACAGAGATCCATGGGGATTATCGCCAGATCTACAGAGTTCTTACTTTGTGCAACACTCTCGGCAGATGACTAGCCATTCTACGGAGTGAGAGAGAGAGAGCGACGAGAGAGAGAGAGAGAGACCAATATTTAGGGGAAAACATTTTGCAGGGAATCAGATCCTTTCAGCTTAAACCCTTTAGAGAGACTCATCTGGAAAATACTGGAGTGGGAGTTTGAGGGAATGAAAGAGTGGATTTTCTGGCTACGAAAGCAATGGGAATGCTCCTACTAGCAGAGGGCGCTTCTGAAGACTGTTTATGGATGTATGCTGATAGAAGACACAAGGTTAGTTGAAACAACATGTGTAAGAATGTGACAATGAGAAATCAGATGGGCATCTGTCATAGACGGGCATACGAGAGGAGAACGGTGTGTATATAATCATTATGCTATGGGAATGGTTAACATCCACATCTAAAGACATTTGCTATAGGCATGACTATCTGTGGATATGAACAGTGAGCTATGATGTTGATTCTTAATCAGTGATCAGCCAGCTGAACTGGGTTCCATCCATGATATTGAGACAAATGCACAGGAAAGAACAGAATGGGAGAATAGACTGTGAGCCCTGTGTGACATTTAACAGCTTGAAATGATGATGATGATAAATCAATGTATTCTTCAGGTGGTGTCGGAAGAACATGACAATAGACCTGTTGACCTCAACCAAATCTTGTCAGCGAAAACAAAGCTGGATGAAATTGAAGATGTTATCAAAAGCGACCAGTCAATGACTGTCAGCCGGATAGCCATTTGGATTGATCCACTAGATGCCACACAAGAGTATACGGGTATGTATTTTTTGAACAGATGGTGTATTATCTTTATTGTAAATGAACATGTGGATGCCCGCCCCCCTCCTTTCTAGGTTCTCAGCTTGCTGTTGTGGAAGGCCTTGCGTGCCCCAGATACTCCAGCAGCAGTGCTGACAGTAGCAGAGCTACTGGCAAGGTTTCCCATCTCAGATTGATGGATAAGGAAGAGATCAGACTCAGAAGATGTTAATTTATTTTGTGGATAGAGAGCAAACCAAGGCTAAGAAAGACAAACCTGATTGGTTGGTTGATTGATTGACTAGAATGAACATTGTTGCTCTTGAGATGCATCCCTGTTGAGCAGTCTTCCGCAGCAAATTACAGTGAAGGAGATACATGTTCTTCTAATCTATGATATGCATAGTGTCTATGTCCTTTCTTCTTTCTGTGTATCCAGATGTCTATGTACCTAAATTATGTGTGCTATAATTTGTGTATGTGTGAGTGGGTTTTATATTGTTTAAATGTAGCCTGATTAGCCTTTCTTGGCTGCCAGTTTCAGTTTCTAACTGCCAAGAAACTTTAACTCAGAGAGAAGGCACACGTTTTTTTTTCTTATATCCTTGTCCGAGAAAATTAGATGTTCTTTCATTACCTGAGATCTGGGGGGGGGGGGGGGGTGGGTACTAGTCTTTTTTTATTTTGTAAAAATGTGCTTAGTTGACACCATTTACCAAGCAAAATCCTCATCTTGGCTAGGGTTATAACCTTTGTCCTGTGAGGGGCTCAGATAATCCTGTCCTCAAATTATTAAAAGATCAGATAATCCCATCCTGAGATTTATGGAACCCAGAGATTCCTGCCCACAAACTGTTTGCAGACAGGAGAGACAAATCTGAAACACTGAGCTGGGTAGCAAATATGAAAGGCTTGTCCCTGTCTTGAAGACATCTGTCACAGCACATTAATGGTAGTTTTGTGTGTGACGCCCTACTACCACAGCTCATTAACAGTCCTGTATCGACTGTGCCTAATGTAATGTTTACTTATTCTGCCGCAGCTGGCTAGAATCAATAACATTTATACTCAACACCTGGGGTTCTCAAAGTGTGGGCTGATGCCTCTCGGGTGCATTGATCCAGCCATGTTTTTAGTTTGGAAGGAAGGTTTGTAGAAGCAAAGAGCATCGTAGTCTTAAACAAGTTTGTCTATTTTACCATTTGGTTTGTGTTCCTTGCAGAAAGTCTCACTGAATATGTCACAACCATGGTCTGTGTTGTTGTTGACGGGGAGCCAAAAATTGGTGTTATTAATCGGCCATTTACAGATGAAACAGGTATGTAATGTAGCCAAAGTAATTAATACTTGTCAATTATAGGAGTAATAATATAACTGTAACTAGTAGGACAAGTCACTGGTTTATAGAATATAGTAAAAGTAATGGATATATGTATTATGTATGTATACACACACGCATGCACACACACACACAAGTAACACACAGGTACACACACACACATAAACAGAAGTAATGAGCTGGTAAATATAGCAGACGTGATCGTTGATTGATATAGTGTAAATAATTTATGTATAGAAGTTGCAGGGAGAAGCAACAGGCTGAACGGTTAATAACGCTGGGGAAGACCAAGGTTCAAATCCTCGGTAAGGATGTGGAGTTTCTTCTGACTGGGGCAAAAGTACAATTCTGACATGCACAGTGTGTGGCAACTGCACTAGCCATGCGGCCCTGAATCCTCAGTGCCTACTCTGCGGCGTGGTAAATACTGGTTGTAATGGCTGGTTGTTTAAGATCTTGCAGAAGTAATAAGTTGAAAAACATAAATTGGTGAAAGAGATTTGACACAGTTGTAGTGTTCTGGATATTGTCAGGGAAAAGGAAAATAAACTGGCCAACAGGAGTGGTGGAGGTGGGGGGATAGAAAGAGAAGTGAAGGATCCTTTTTCATGCCCTCAGGCGTATTGACATGAAGGGGTAACCCTGTATTTGACAGACCAATGAGCACATGGTAGATGATGTTGTCAGCATTGTGCCGGCCACCTTTACTTTCCAGGACTTTATCGGGTACCCATTTAACATCCGCCCCATCACGACCTGAACCCATGACCTGGGGATCCGCAGGTAAGTGTCCAGCTCCTACACCGCAGAGAAGACAAAATATGCCAGATGGTGTAACTGTGATAAGAATCATCATCATCATCAAGTGACTGGCATGGCCGATCATGCCTTTCCACAGTCTGCAATCCGCAGCTAAGAGTATAAGTTCATGTGTTGACACCCCTCCATACCATCACAAAAGGCCATCAAGAATCTTCTGGCTTTGTCTTCCTCTGTCTCTCTTTCCACAGATTTTTCCAGTGGTCACAAAATGTCCCATTTGTCCTTTTTGGCATCTTGTAGGGAGTCGGCAGTCCAAAACCCAAGTTCAAGGTGTCTCCTTCGTGCCGAAGAACTGCATGCCTGCTGTGTGAACAGTCGTTAACGAAGGCAGACAGGTCATTGTAGTGGCGACGCTTGCTGGTGGATTTAATGTCCTAAGTCCCTTTCCCTAGCTAATAGTGAGGGTAATGCTGGGGTGACCGTTTATAAACCCTCACATAATGCTTCAGGTTGAAATGGACACTAGGCATGGCCACTTCTTTTAGCCGTGGCAAATTGTTTTTTTTGCTTCTGCCAGACAGTGGCCGTTGCATTTTTTCTCTATTGGTAGACTGGAAGGAATATATTTTCGTTGCCCAGCTTCTGGGTTGAGTGTATGTCGTGACACTGTGAGCCGCGGATTTCATTTGAACTGTGATAAACATTTTGTGTGTTTTTCATTGGCACAGGAGCGGAGCAACTATGGGATGACCTGTTTTATTATACAGCTGAAACTAAAATTACCAGATTACCAGATATGTTTGTATAAGAGAAATAATTTATGTTGTTCATACAATTTCCTACATCAGCTAGAGCATATGTGGGTATATGTGAAATAATTTCTGTTGTTCGTATTTATTTCTACATCAGCTCGAGCATATTTAAAGAAAGTAGCACTTAGTTTGAGCTGTTTCAGATTTCCTCACAAGGGACACTTGTAAACTACAAAAACTAAATTATCTGCTCTGCATTTGTGAGAGACTGTCACAGTAAATGTTCAGCTTCATGCACATTTTCATTTGTCATTGTCTGCTATCTTAATTTTGGACGTGGGTGATAAAATGTTGTGATGTGTTTTCGAGCATTAAGGGAAACTAATGAAAAACCTGACACGATTATGATTTCAGTTTGGGCTTGGGATGGCTACGGTCATTCTAAGAACCTGAAGCCAGCAGAGATAGCAGAAAATGGAAGTGTAGAGAAGCACAGCATCATTGTGTCCCGCAGTCATAGTGGAGCTGTAGAACAGGTTGCCAAGAGTGCCCTAGGGGACACAGTACAGATTATTTCTGCCGGAGGTGCAGGTGAGTCTGTTTAAAAAAAGAAACAATTAATTGCTTGAATTGTGTTGATGGTGCTTGCATCTTGTGGCTCAGGCTATGTATGGCTGAGAGGTGATGAAAGTAGGATGAAAGTATCTTGTGGCTCAGGTTATGTATGGCTGAGAGGTGATGACAGTAGGATGGGAGCATCTGGTGTCAGGTAAGAAGCGTGTGGCATTTTCCTCTGCAAGTCATTTGATTGTATTTATTCTTCTTCTTTCACTATGCCACTATGATCAACAGGGTGGCCAAAAAGTTAGCTTAGAGATCTCTAGAATATAAAGTGATATGTTTGAATTCTAGTTAGAGAAAGGCACCAGATAGAAAGGAATGGAGACCTAGACTTTGGGCTCTGGTAATGTATGATGGCATGATATGATGATGACAATGCAAAGGTTTCATTGGTCTATCTCAGGGCAGAGGTTTCATTGGTCTATCTCAGGGCAGAGGTTTTATTGGTCTGTCTCAGGGTAGAGGTTTCATTGGTCTATCTCAGGGTAGAGGTTTCATTGGTCTATCTCAGAGCAGAGGTTTTATTGGTCTGTCTCAGGGCAGAGGTTTCATTGGTCTTATCTCAGGGCAGAGATTTCATTGGTCTGTCTCAGGGCAGAGGTTTCATTGGTCTGTCTCAGTGCAGAGGGTTCATTGGTCTGTCTCAGGGCAGAGGTTTCATTGGTCTATCTCAGGGCAGAGGTTTCATTGGTCTATCTCAGGGCAAAGGTTTCATTGGTTTTGTCTCAGGGCAGAGGTTTCATTGGTCTTATCTCAGGGCAGAGGTTTCATTGGTCTATCTCAGGGCAGAGATTTCATTGGTTTATCTCAGGGCAGAGGTTTGTTTGGTCTATCTCAGGGCAAAGATTGCATTGGTCTATCTCAGGGCAGAGGTTTCATTGGTCTGTCTCAGAACAGAGGAACTGGTTTGGCTTGCAGTGATTTTACAGACACAGCCTCGTGCAGTTTTCTTGTGAGCTGGAGAAGCAAGTTATGAAAACAACTGCTGATGGTTGATTGGGTTGATTGATTTGAATCTTAACTGATCTGTCAACAGACAGCTATGGAGAGGTGCTCCAATATCTTGAGTAGTGTAAACTCTGCTTCAGGTACTTAAGTACCCTGAAAATTGCAAACAGCAAATGAACCAAAGAAGCCAAATGTAGAATATATAGATCAAGTAAAGCAGCATGTCCTGGGATAAAGAATCATCTGGGTAATCTGTCTTTGTCATTTGAAGTGAGGTGGAGGCTTGTTAACTGTGTCAGTCAGTTTTGAGCCGGTTTTGCTGCATTTAGGGGATTTAATGTGGCATCTTTGGGCAGTGACCACTATGCTTATGTGACAGCTTTTGGCAGTGACTACTATGCTTATGTGACAGCTTTGGGCAGTGATCACTATGCTTATGTGACTGCTTTGGGCAGTGACTACTATGCTTATGTGACAGCTTTGGGCAGTGACTACTATGCTTATGTGACAGCTTTGGGCAGTGACTACTATGCTTATGTGACAGCTTTGGGCAGTGACCACTATGCTTATGTGACAGCTTTGGGCAGTGTTCACTATGCTTATGTTACAGCTTTGGGCAGTGTCTACTATGCTTATGTGACAGCTTTGGGCAGTGTCCACTATGCTTATGTTACAGCTTTGGGCAGTGTTCACTATGCTTATGTTACAGCTTTGGGCAGTGTTCACTATGCTTATGTGACAGCTTTGGGCAGTGTCTACTATGCTTATGTGACAGCTTTGGGCAGTGTCTACTATGCTTATGTGACAGCTTTGGGCAGTGACCACTATGCTTATGTGACAGCTTTGGGCAGTGACCACTATGCTTATGTGACAGCTTTGGGCAGTGACTACTATGCTTATGTGACAGCTTTGGGCAGTGTCTACTATGCTTATGTGACTGCTTTGGGCAGTGACCACTATGCTTATGTGACAGCTTTGGGCAGTGACTACTATGCTTATGTGACAGCTTTGGGCAGTGTCTACTATGCTTATGTGACTGCTTTGGGCAGTGACCACTATGCTTATGTGACAGCTTTTGGCAGTGACTACTATGCTTATGTGACAGCTTTGGGCAGTGACTACTATGCTTATGTGACAGCTTTGGGCAGTGTTCACTATGCTTATGTGACAGCTTTGGGCAGTGACTACTATGCTTATGTGACAGCTTTGGGCAGTGACCACTATGCTTATGTGACAGCTTTGGGCAGTGACCACTATGCTTATGTGACAGCTTTGGGCAGTGACTACTATGCTTATGTGACAGCTTTGGGCAGTGTTCACTATGCTTATGTGACAGCTTTGGCAGTGACTAAGTATGCTTATGTGCAGCTTTGGCTGGCAGTGACTACTATGCTTATGTGACAGCTTTGGGCAGTGACCACTATGCTTATGTGACAGCTTTGGGCAGTGACTACTATGCTTATGTGACAGCTTTGGGCAGTGACCACTATGCTTCTGTGACAGCTTTGGGCAGTGACCACTATGCTTCTGTGACAGCTTTGGGCAGTGTCTACTATGCTTATGTGACAGCTTTGGGCAGTGACCACTATGCTTATGTGACAGCTTTGGGCAGTGACTACTATGCTTATGTGACAGCTTTGGGCAGTGTTCACTATGCTTATGTGACAGCTTTGGGCAGTGTTCACTATGCTTATGTGACAGCTTTGGGCAGTGACTACTATGCTTATGTGACAGCTTTGGGCAGTGACCACTATGCTTATGTGACAGCTTTGGGCAGTGACCACTATGCTTATGTGACAGCTTTGGGCAGTGACTACTATGCTTATGTGACAGCTTTGGGCAGTGTTCACTATGCTTATGTGACAGCTTTGGGCAGTGACTACTATGCTTATGTGACAGCTTTGGGCAGTGACTACTATGCTTATGTGACAGCTTTGGGCAGTGACCACCATGCTTATGTGACAGCTTTTGGCAGTGACCACTATGCTTATGTGACAGCTTTGGTACTGGCTGCACACTCAATAGTGTGTGGACGACATGGTCATTGGCACCTTTCCATCTATCCAGACGATAGTGTTATATTGCGCTGTGAGGAGGCATGGGACTCACAGCCCATGGCCATGGCGAGTGTGACTAGCAAAACCCGCCCATGTCAAGAAAAGTCCTCTCCACAGAACAAAGCCTGTGCAGTATTGTAGAGACCACTTGTTGCCCATGCTTAATGATCCCTCCCTCGACCTGCCTTGTTTATTCCAAAGGAGAAGGTATGATCATATTTGCATACAAACAATAATTTATGATATTGTTTGTACGGGTTCATAGGCAATCAGCTGATGAGTGAAAGATTATGTAGAAGCTGCAGAGATGTGGTTTTTGTAGGCGAATGATGAGAACACATTGGACAGATGAAAAGAGTAAAAAAGATGTGTTGTAAAAATGTAATAACTAATGAAGAGAACTGTTATATGCATCGGAAGGAGACCATCTACATTCTTTGGTCATTTGTGGGAATGGAACAGCTGTGGTATATTATGACAGTGGGAAAGTTGGAGAGGAAGAGAGGTAGGAGAGGCAGAGGGAGACCAGGAAAGAAGATACTAGATGGTTTGGCAGAAATGGCTGCAAGTACACAAGGCAGAGGGCTGTGGACAGGCGTGACTACCAGTGCCACATCTCAGCGACTTGAATTAGGATTAGTGCACAAAGACAGGCCATATCATATATCTTCATCCATTGGCCCGGCTCTCTAGCAAAGTTGGTTAAATCTGACTTTCGCGGCGGCCGGGTGATGAACTCCTTGTGGTCCGGGTTCACTCCCGGGGGTAGGCAGAAAAGCCACATTTCTCCCAGATTAACGGTACCTATAATGGAATCAATGCTGAAGGGTTGCGATATCCATAGTACCGAGCCAAAGGGTTTACAACTCATGGTTTCTGGATACGTTAAAAAAAAAAAAAATCTTCATCCATTGTCCTTTTATAGCACTATAAGTCACAGAGGGCACATCAGATATTCTTCCATTCTCTTCTGTACTGAGCAGTAAATTCAGTGTCACGGATGGAGTCTAGCTAGTACCTTTAGCCTCTCTCGTCAGTATTTGCTTGAAGGTTTCTTTTGGGCATCCTTGCCTTCTTAATTCCTTTATTTCCCATTTTAGTGCCTGTTTTATATTTCTTTGCTGGTTTCTTCTCAGGATGTGTCCAGTACAGCGCCATCTTCTCTGTCTGATAACTGTTGATACTAGTGGTAGCCCAGCCATCTTCTCTGTCTGATAACTGTTGATACTAGTGGTTGTCCAGCCATCTTCTCTGTCTGATAACTGTTGATACTAGTGGTAGCCCAGCCATCTTCTCTGTCTGATAACTGTTGATACTAGTGGTTGCCCAGCCATCTTCTCTGTCTGAAAACTGTTGATACTAGTGGTTGTCCAGCCATCTTCTCTGTCTGATAACTGTTGATTCTAGTGGTAGCCCAGACATCTTCTCTGTCTGTCTGATAACTGTTGATACTAGTGGTTGTCCAGCCATCTTCTCTGTCTGATAACTGTTGATACTAGTGGTTGTCCAGCCATCTTCTCTGTCTGATAACTGTTGATACTAGTGGTTGTCCAGCCATCTTCTCTGTCTGATAACTGTTGATACTAGTGGTTGCCCAGACATCTTCTCTGTCTGATAACTGTTGATACTAGTGGTTGTCCAGCCATCTTCTCTGTCTGATAACTGTTGATACTAGTGGTAGCCCAGACATCTTCTCTGTCTTATAACTGTTGATACTAGTGTTTGTCCAGCCATCTTCTCTGTCTGATAACTGTTGATACTGGTGATACTGTGATGGTTCTCTCTCTGATAAGCCATGTTGAAACTGATACTAGTGGTTGTCCAGCCATCTTCTCTGTCTTATAACTGTTGATACTAGTGTTTGTCCAGCCATCTTCTCTGTCTGATAACTGGTGATACTAGTGGTTGTCCAGCCATCTTCTCTGTCTGATAACTGTTGATACTAGTGGTTGTCCAGCCATCTTCTCTGTCTGATAACTGTTGATACTAGTGTTTGTCCAGCCATCTTCTCTGTCTGACAACTGTTGATACTAGTGGTTGTCCAGCCATCTTCTCTGTCTTACAACTGTTGATACTAGTGGTTGTCCAGCTATCTTCTCTGTCTGATAACTGTTGATACTAGTGTTTGTCCAGCCATCTTCTCTGTCTTACAACTGTTGATACTAGTGTTTGTCCAGCCATCTTCTCTGTCTGATAACTGTTGATACTAGTGGCAGCCCAGCCATCTTCTCTTGTTGCTTCACTTCTTTTGAATTCATTCCATTTTATGTTCATCATTTTCCTCAGGCATTTGTTTTCATATACATTTCACTTCTGTCCCATGTCTTTAGTGGTATATGTTTGAAGTAATTAGCAGACTAGACAATGTACTGATGGAACAGGAGCACTAATACATATATCATTGATATTTTTTTAGCAGACTAGACAATGTACTGATGGAACAGGAGCACTAATTCATATATCATTGATATTTTTTTAGCAGACTAGACAATGTACTGATGGAACAGGAGCACTAATTCATATATCATTGATATTTTTTTTAGCAGACTAGACAATGTACTGATGGAACAGGAGCACTAATTCATATATCATTGATATTTTTTTAGCAGACTAGACAATGTACTGATGGAACAGGAGCACTAATTCATATATCATTGATATTTTTTTAGCAGACTAGACAATGTACTGATGGAACAGGAGCACTAATTCTATATCATTGATATTTTTTTAGCAGACTAGACAATGTACTGATGGAACAGGAGCACTAATTCATATATCATTGATATTTTTTTTAGCAGACTAGACAATGTACTGATGGAACAGGAGCACTAATTCATATTTCATTGATATTTTTTTAGCAGACTAGACAATGTACTGATGGAACAGGAGCACTAATTCATATATCATTGATATTTTTTTAGCAGACTAGACAATGTACTGATGGAACAGGAGCACTAATTCATATTTCATTGATATTTTTTTAGCAGACTAGACAATGTACTGATGGAACAGGAGCACTAATTCATATATCATTGATATTTTTTTAGCAGACTAGACAATGTACTGATGGAACAGGAGCACTAATACATATATCATTGATATTTTTTTAGCAGACTAGACAATGTACTGATGGAACAGGAGCACTAATTCATATATCATTGATATTTTTTTTCAGGCTACAAGACACTTGAGGTGATTAAAGGCTCAGTCAATGCCTACACACACGTGACACTCATCAAGAAATGGGACATATGCGCAGGAAATGCCATCCTTAACGCTGTCGGTGGCAAGATGACCACTCTTGATGGAGATTATATTGATTACTCCCCTTTGTTGGATAATAAAAACGAACGTGGCCTCCTGGCAACTGTCAACAGTAAATTACATTATCTTTATTTGGAAAAGATTGGACAGAAAGCTAAAGAATTGCTGGACAAACAGGCAAAAGACAAGCCAAAAGTAAATCCATTATGATGTGCTTGTTTATTTTGGTATGTGAGTGGTTTCCTCTCATTGTTTCACATCTTGGCAGGTGGTTGTAAGTTCTTGTTTGAGTAATTGTTCAGTTTATTGCTCGGGGAGGCACAATTCTTGCCAGCGAAGATGAGTATATTTACTGCTAATAGAGAAGGTCACATTTCTGTTAGCGGAGACTGCTAAAACAACTGCAAGTGGAAACCTTAACATTGCTGCTCTGGGGATTAGTGATGTAAACTCTTTTGGTAGCAGCCTGTAAGTTCTTTATCCCCTTATATCCTGAGAAGTTCTCATGTAAAGTAACCAGTGTTTGAGTCTAACAAAGTTAATGAGGAAAACGCTATGGGCAGAATGGGGTAAACCAATAACTACTAGCTGTGTTCAATACAAGGAGAATCATAAATGTGGACTGTCTTTGGACTAACTGATGGATGAGTTGAATGGGACAAAAGAGTGAGGTGGATCAGTAGTAAGTGGATCAGTGACATAAGTGCCATGGAGGGACAGGACCAGTGACGTTTCTTGTGGTCAGTCAGTAGCATTATTGGTAGCTAGGATCAGTAATGTTACTTCTTCTTGAGAAAATAAAACAAGTCATGATTGTGAAGACCAGCGACAATGTTTCCAGGAGAGGCTAGTCAGATTCTGCTTCAGGGAACAATCATTTTGCTACTTCTGGGAAAAAAATAGCTGTAAGGAAATCTGACATGAGAACTGTGAGGGGACACAGTAAGCGGCTCTGTCCCATACATCTGGATCCTGATATTTATTTATATTCTCCATCCAGTATTGCCATACAGACACTGTCGTTCTCCAGTGTTGCCATGCAGACACTGATGTTTTCCAGTATTGCTATGCAGACTGATGTTTTCCAGTATTGCCATGCAGACACTGATGTTTTCCAGTATTGCCATGCAGACACTGTATTTTGATGAAAAATTTAATCATATATTGGGATGCAGACACTGATGTTTTCCAGTATTGCTATGCAGACTGATGTTTTCCAGTATTGCCATGCAGACACTGATGTTCCCCAGTATTGTCGTGCAGACACTGTGATGTTTACTTTTTTTATTGTATTTGGGGAAAATATATAGGTCATGTATGGGGAGGGGTGGGGTGAGAGGCGGACAATAAATCAAACTGCTGCTATCCCTGTTGGAATTGGAACTCTTCTCTGGCTGTTAAAGATGAAGACAGAACGCACATGGGAATGTCCCAAGGGTTGTGATGGCAGATTTTGTGTCAACAGTCACACAGATCATAGGTCAACAGTCACACAGATCATAGGTCAACAGTCAACACTCATTCATTAAAAAAAAATCATGTTTTCAAGTGCTGATTTTTAGACTAAATCTGTGTCACCTCTGAAGTGTGACCAACAGAAACTTATCCTGATGACTTTTACATATTTATGGAAGGCAAATTATTAACTGGAAGGGAAGGGGGGAAGGTAGCCAGCAGTCATTTTTCACATATGTTGAATACATTACATGATGTATTTACAGGTACAAGTGTAAACGTATGGAAACATACATTGCAGCAGATTATGAATTTTTCTATAATAGCTTAATCATCATCAGCATGTAACAAGTTCTCTGCAGGATGTGGCTCTCGACACAGTGCACTGAAGAAATGGGCGCCCTTCACCAGTTTTCTTGCTCAGGATCTTGGATGCTTTTGTTCCAGTGCCCTGTTGGCTGGCTTATGTCTTGTCTTCCATGAATCCACGCCTTTCATTGCCTTTCTGTCTAAACTAGTGTCACATTTGGCTTTGTCACAGTATTTTAGTTACTGAGTATGTTCAGATCATGTAGAGTAACATTTTTTCTTTCTGTTCAAGTGATTGTGAAATGGTCTATAATTCACATATTGGGTCTGTTATGTGAATTAATTTTCTTGACATGTTTACTTTTTTCTGCTGTAGTGCCATCAACTCTTCCTGCTGTTTGACCGCTGCACTACTGTAGCCAGATTTCTTGTTGAATGTGGACCTATGTGCGCCTGATTTCTTGTTATTTGGGGGCATATGTGTGCCTGATTTCTTATTTTATGTGGACATATGTGTGCCTGATTTCTTGTTCTATGTGGACATATGTGTGCCTGATTTCTTGTTTTATATGGACATGTGTGCCTGATTTCTTGTTATATGTGGACATATGTGTGCCTGATTTCTTGTTTAATGTGGACATATGTGTGCCTGATGTCTTATTTTATGTGGACATATGTGTGCCTGATTTCTTGTTTAATGTGGACATTTGTGTGCCTCATTTCTTGTTATATGTGTACATATGTGTGCCTGATTTCTTGTTTAATGTGGACATATGTGTGCCTGATTTCTTGTTATATGTGTACATATGTGTGCCTCATTTCTTGTTATATGAGGACATATGTGTGCCTGATTTCTTGTTTGATGTGGACATATGTGTGCCTCATTTCTTGTTTAATGTGGACATATGTGTGCCTGATTTCTTGTTTATATGTGGACATATGTATGCCTCATTTCTTGTTAAATGTAGACCTATGTGTGTCTGATTTATTGTTGTTTGTGGGCATATGTGTAACTGATGTCTTGTTATTTGGGGGCATATGTAGGTCTGACTTCTTGTTATATGTGGACATATGTATGCCTAATTTCTTGTTATATGTGGACATATGTATGCCTAATTTCTTGTTATATGTGGACATATGAGTGCCTAATTTCTTGTTGTGGGCATATGTGTAACTGATGTCTTGTTATTTAGGGGCATATGTATGTCTGACTTCTTGTTATTTGTGGGCATATTGTGCCAGATTGTTATTTGTGGGCATATGTGTGCCTGCTTTCTTGTTATATGAGGACACACGTGTGCCTGATAATACATTCTGTTGATCAAAATTTAGATTATAAAAAAAAAAAAAAGACATTTTGATGTAAGGAAATCATTCCTGTTTTACGGAGTACATCATGGGAGCTACGGAAATTTGCTGGCTAGTGCATTCTCTGCCAGATCCATATTTGTGGGTTCACATCTGCAATGAGGTGGGATGATTATCAATACAATATGGCTCCAAGAGTGAATGAACAAACGAACAAACAAACTTTATTTTCAAAGGGTTACAAATTGGGCACGCATGCCCGTCTGACATTCAGTGGGGCAAAGTGAGACTGATCCAGCCTAATAAGTTTTCCATTGAATGCCATTTGGTACAAAGATGTAGGCCTAGCCTTCTATCACCAGCAAGCCACTTTGGTCTGCGATCTTATACCATTCTACCATATTTTTGGATGTATAAGACTTTAGATTTTCCTAGCCTTCTATCACCAGCAAGCCTACTTTTCTATCACCAGCAAGCCACTTTGGTCTGGGATCTTATACCATTCTACCATATTTTTGGATGTATAAGACTTTAGATTTTCCTAGCCTTCTATCACCAGCAAGCCACTTTGGTCTGGGATCTTATACCATTCTACCATATTTTTGGATGTATAAGACTTTAGATTTTCTTAAACTTTTTCAGGTTTAAAATTAGGGGTTGTCTAATTTATGGAATGTGTGAAATATTTGTGTCTTAATTTTAGGCTAAAGACTAGGGGTATCTTATACATTGGGACATCTCATACACCAAAAAGTTCCCAGCTCATTATGCTTATTTGAACCTGTATATATATATATATATATATATATATATATATATATATATATATATATATATATATATATATATATATATATATATGTGTGTGTGTGTGTGTATGTGTGTGTGTATGTTTATCACTAACCACTCCAGAGATCAAACATGCTGCGAACCTAACTATTCCTTACTTATGATGTTCCTGTTTTTGATGTTTTGTTTACTAATATTTGGGTCCGCGTACCTCTAAAATATCACATATTGCTAGAATATTATTTGTGTGAGTCCGCGTACCTCTAAAATATCACATATTGCTAGAATATTATTTGCTTTCTTCTAGTCATCCATGGCTCACAGAAAGCAGGGTATTATGGTATTAACATTCATGACAATGATGTCTGCTGTTTGCATGTTTTTCAGTTCAACATAGAGGGCATTGTGTTTCTTTATGTAAACTATAACCTAGACATGTCCAAGTGGGTCGCTCTTTTTAGCAGGAGAATGTTTTATCTTGAGCTGATGGCTGGATGCTGCCTTAGTTCTTTCTCGATGGGGTTCAGTAAACAGGTTTGTCTGTGAAGGTGAATGATGAAATTTGTGAATGGCAAAGAGCGTCATTTGTGAGTGGGATTTATAGTTAGTTGCTGACAGATCTGAGAGACAACATGATAAAACTTAGAGGGCAGATACTGATACAATTTTTACTGACAGTGTTCAGGCCACCCCAAAAATGTGGCAACAGACACCTATTCCAGTGACCTGCTAGAGAACATTTTATAAGATTATCCACATGTTGCCATTTAGAGATAGGAAATTTGGTTGACAGAGGCAAATCTTTCAAGACAAATTGTTGGTGACCGTTAAAGACCTTATAAGTGATGTCATGTTTTATCCACGCTCGAATAAATATTTGATCACATTGATCAGTGAAGAAAAATAGACAGGTATGTGATAAAGCTTGCTGTTATTTTATTACACATATGAGTTGATAGTGTAGCATGCATGGGTATTCTGGTCATTTCAACAGATGGCGGAGTCTATAAGAGACCATCTAGCATGGTTGTGACCACTTTCTGTACAACACCGCACATGTTGGTGACAACAGTGACTCCTCTTTGATAATGGCTGATTTGTCTGGAGCAGCAGAACTATGCCATGTTTGCATGCTAGATTGTTCATGGAACGATCTGGGAAGTTGAGGAAGGTTTTGTCTGCACTGGATTCAATCCCCACCAGGATTCACAGTATGCAGATCTGAATACAGTTTTGCATATGGAAGAACAGATGTTGTCCTTAGTGAAGGAGCAGAAGGCTGACCTTCACTGCCAGTGTTTCAGAACATCAGTAAATGAACACTAATAGCACACAAGACATTCCCATAA